GAGATAATACCTAAAAACATTTTACATCAAAATTATATTCCATGACAAAATTTGAAGGTGCACCTTACCTCTACACCTACGGATGCATCCGTATGGCAACTGCACCCTTGCAAAAAAAAATCCCTCAAAAACCGGTAGTAAAGTAGAGAGGGGCACGAAGCTCCTAGAGTTTGGAGAGTTTGGAGCATGGAATTTTAATGGGAGCACCCCTCTGCTATTCCTACCTCTAACAGCACCTGACACATGGTAGGACCCCATAGCACTCTCATAAAGGCAGGCATCGCACCTACATGGGTATACCAAGACCGTACAACATTTCAATTTCCTTTACCCGTAGAACTTAGGGTTGAAGATTTTCAAACCTCATTTTGTTTTGTGGTATACGCCAAGATAATCATGTCTTACGACCACTCTCCAGTGAGATCCGGCTCGTATGCAGAATCCTTGGCCTCATCCCCGGCTCGTATGCAGAATCCTTGGCCTCATCCCCATTTGGGACGGGGGCGTCAAGCCGTCCATACGGGGGGCACCGCACCCTTGTACCGATGATATCCCAGTAGGAGAGTCAGACCACCCACATGGGACCGTAGCCAGATATCCCAATCTCCAAATTGGGACTCCCCACGACTATTTAGAAGTTGTCGACCACTAGATTAACATGGTCCACAGTACCTTGAACAATCGAGGAATGAGACCAGGAGGACTTCTGCAAGAGCTAGTAATGAACCAACCTGGTCACTGGTCGAGTCCAGGTCCAATCCTCCAACAACCTCAAGCCAACTGGCCCAAATCAAGTTAAACCCAATAGCCAACCATTGTCCAACCATCCAAACCCGAGATCACCTGCTTGGACTAGAACATCTAATCAGGGATCCAATTCGAGTTATGGGTGTTAACCCCAAGGAGACTTAGATCCAATACACCAAGTTTTATTACACAACTTGGCGAGTCAGGGTTATATGCTATACAAACGCTGGAAGGTGGGCTCATTAAACTCAACAACCTTAGTAACCACATGACCAACAACCAACATATTCGGCCCGGTCGTTTCCCCATGCCCAATATATGGGGCAACCTAGCCTGTCAGCCCACCAAATATACCAGTCCATGACAGGCAACCAGTTGGCCGGCTAAGCCATTCTTGTGCCAACGGCTTAGTTAATCAAAATGGAAGGAAATATAAAAGCCCTTCGGGACACTCTAAAAAGAATGGGGATTCTTGACTTCCAAATCCCGAAAGGCCACATGCAAGGAACCCACAGAAATCTCAAAGATCTACTGACGGGCTTCACCATACTTGAAGTCAGAAACATGTCCTCCAAGAAGGGAGATCAAGACTCACATGTTCAGGCCAACAGCTCTTGGTACAAGTCTATGACATAGGACCACCTTAAACCAATGTTTCAACACAGCCTTTCAGCTGAGCCCTTCTTGTGGCAGAGAGAAGATAATGAGGACTCGCCTATATCACTCCTAATGAAATGTTTTGGTACTTCATCAAAGATTATCACCAGGCAAAACCGAGGCCTCTTACTCTAGGTTAGTTAACAACCTTTAGGAAAAACCAATAGTGTCTTTTAGCGACTACGTCGCCAGATCCAAAGATGATGCTTCTTGGGTCATTGAGTATCCGCTCTCTGATCCTGCAAAGATAAGAATCATTATTGAAAACGCCACCTATTAATATAAACTCTTCTTCAGCCAAGGTACCACACTTCTCATTTAACTTTATGTTAGAAAGAGTCAAACTCTACGAACGGGCTAGGGGCACGCTGCTAGCATCAAACCAATAGAAAACCAAGTACTAGCCACATCCCCACAATAGCACAAAGAGAGAGAGAGAGAGAGAGAGAGAGAGAGAGAGAGAGAGTATTTCCCTTGTCATACGT